TATATATATATATATATATATTATATATATATATATATATATATATATATATATATATATATATATATATATATATATATATATATATATATATATATATATACTGTGTTTATGTATATATATACATATATATTATTATGTATATATATACATATATATTCTGTTTATGTATATGTATATGTCTATGTATTTAAAGATATATATGTGTGCGTATGGTGGTGTCCCATTGTATGTAGTGCTTCTGTTCATGTATGATGCTGTAGTAGATCACATGCTCGAGGAAGCTTTCGGATCTTTTCTTGTGGTCTATATAGTTACCTATATGAACTATACATACGTACCCGTGTGTCCGTATAATAACTGTCTGTACTAGTGTACAAACAATAAGTGTATGTAAGTGGTTACATATTTTATGTATCTGTTTTAATGTTTATACAATAAGTGGATTTAAATGGTTATATATTTTTTATCTCTTTTAATGTTAATACAATAAGTGTATGTAAGTGGTTATATATATTATGTATCTGTTTTATTGTTTATACAATAAGTGTATGTAAGTGATTACATAATTTGTGTATCTGTACTAGTGTACGTACAATTAGTGTATGTAAGTGGTTATATATTATATGAATCTGTACTAGTGTCTATGTACAAAATGTATGTGTGTATATAACCACATACATAGTCATGTATGTACATATATAAAGACCATTCCATCCCCATCCTGTATGTTATACCTCCACACACACACCTGCAACCACACCCTCTCCTACCCCACACAGGTATGCTCAGCGCGCCTATGATAAGATCAGCCTTCCGTTTGCAGGCATACTGCCCGATAGTCGTATTCTGGGGTCGCTGCGGCTGAACGAGATTGAGCGTACGCTCAAGGCACGGCCTCTCTACGGTATGAAGCAGATGGATGAGAACGCAGACATGGAGATCTCCTCCATGCTGGTGGGAACGTTGCAATTTCCTTCGCTCTTGAAGCATCTCAATTCCCTGCCGGCGACGGCTGGGGCAGGACCGCTTATCTTCACGTCAGGTAAGATGTATATGTTGTTGCTTTTTCTGGTTTATGTATATGTATGTATATATATATATATATATATATATACTTATATGTATGTTTATATATATATATATGTATGTATAAGAAAAGACAGACGTACGAGTTGTTCCCCACTCTAACTTACACAATTCTCATATGTATCCGTACCCACACCCGCCCCTGCAGGTGATCGCCTGGATGTGCTGGCTGGGCTCATGTTTGCGCGTGAGAGCGTTAACATGCCTACGGTGGCCGGCATTGTAGTGACGGGTGGACAAGAACCTCCACGTTATTGGGAAGACATTATCAAAGGCATGCCCAAGAGCAAGCAGATGATGCCCGTGATGCAGTGCGAACATGACACGTTTACCACGGCTAAGATTGCCTCGAATATTAAGGTATGGATATGCTACAGACATGCATTTAAATATGTATGTATAAGTATATATATATATAAATACATATATATATATATATATATATGTATATATAGAATACATACACATTGTTATTTATATATATATATATATATATGTGTGTGTGTGTGATTAATTTCCCTTATGCTGCACTGTATATAATATGTTGGGCTTGCTTAGAGATGACTGTGTGTCCGGTGTGTTTACTTGACCGTATACTTGCAATGCATGCAATGTACCTATCGCAGTACAAGACTTGATTCCAACTTTAGTTTGGGTATTACTTTCAAGGCAATACGCTTGTTGTAGCGATGTAGCTGTAATGTCTTGCTGTGTTTACTAAAGCTTGGCGTGACCTGTTTCAATCGTTTTATTTGCACCTTCGCGAGATTATACATATATACATAATCTAGTTCATATATATATATATATATGTGTGTGTGTGTATACAGCCATATTATATATGGGTACTACTTTTCCTATACATAGTTTATAATTCATATATATAACATACACATTTAAACAACACCACGTGTACATTATGACATACACTATAATATATATATATATATATATATATATAGAATCCTGACTTGAATATATTTACCCGATATAGGGTCATCTGCTGCCCACGAGTAAGCGCAAAATCCAGCATTCTCAGGTGCTGTGGGACGACAACGTGGACCAAGAAGTCATCCGACGACTGGTACTGAGTGAGAAGAGCCCACGCATGACACCCAAACTATTCCAGCACAAGCTGATACAACAGGTACACACCAAGAGACTTATACCATGCAAGTATATTCTTTATTTAAATATGTGTGTATACCAATGTTATTTATATATCATATAGCAGATGCAGATATGTCATGTATGTGTGCGTGTGTATGTATGTATGTATGTATTCATGGTGTGTATGTACGTATATATATATATATATTTGTGTGTGTGTGTATGTATGTATGTATGTATTCATGGTGTGTATGTACGTATATATATATATATATATGTGTGTGTGTGTATACATATATATATGCAAGTTTGGACTTGTATCGGCACAAGATGCAAGGCGCATTGTTAAACACATCCCACATTGTCCTAAGGATACAACAGGCGTATGAGAATATCACAAAGCAGCAGATCCTATCATATGAAAAATTTACGTTTTATTATCACTTTCCCGGAATCCAATCGTATGATAGACGCGTAAGGACAAGAAGCACATTCTACTACAGAAATTAAACATGTAATGTGTGTATCAAATATAACAACATGAAGTTGACCGTATATATGTACTTATGTTGCGTACGTACAACAACATAGATTCTATAAGGCACATCATAATGGGAGTACACGTCTCACTCGCACTCTCTCCCACACACCTATATATCACTCATACTCTCTCCTACATACCTGTATATCACTCATACTCTCTCCTACACACCTATATATCACTCGCACTTTCCCCTACACACCTATATATAACTCGCACTCTCTTCTACACACCCATCTATACCACAGGCGCGAAAGAACAAGAAGCACATTGTGTTGCCCGAGGGCGATGATCCACGCATTCTGGAGGCAGCGGCCCAATTGATTGCCTTACGCGTGGTGGATCTAACCATCCTAGGTGTGTGTGCTGGTGAATCGCTGTCCTAGCTGTGTGTGGTGATTAATCACTGTCTTAGCCGTGTATGAGTTGTATGAATTATCTGAGGGATGTGTGTGATGGTTAATCACTGTCTTAGCTCTGTATGAGTTGTATGAATTATCTGAGGGGTGTGTGTGATGGTGAATCACTGTCTTAGCTGTGTGTGTGTGGTATGAATTATCTGAGGTGTGTGTTGGGTTTTGGCACATAAATCCTATCACAGGTGTATGTGTAGTGTTATGAGACGATATGTGGCCAACAAAGGGGTGTGCTTTGTCACCTCGGACCGTGTTCAGGTGCGAGTAGTTTAGTTATATATGCCGTGCCCATTACCATATGAGTGTACTAAATATGGACGTGGTACCATCAGGCATACAACACTCGCATGTATATGACATATAACATGCACCTTCATACAAACTTCGCACACACCCACTTACATACACACACACTGACTTACATACGCACACACACACACCCACTTACATACACATAAACTCACCTACATATACACACGCACTTACATACACACACACGCACTTACATACATTTTTTCACACACTCACTCACATACACACACACACACTTCCATACACACACACACACTTACACACACACCCAATTACATACACACACACACACTTACACACACACCCAATTACATACACACAACCCATAAGTGATTCTCAGCATACGACAAGCATGCCACACGTGAGCGTGTACCTCTCTGAGGCTTCTCTTCCTTCTGATTTAGGCTATACATACGTCCTCACTCACACACATTTCGTATACACACCCTCTCGTGCTAACATCCATACTGTACACACACACTCAGGCATTCGCTTGTTTTATACAATCGTCCCACACACTCGTCTCATAAACTCATCTTATACACTCATCTCATACACTCATCCCATACACTCATTTCATACACTCATCCCCTCTGCAGGCGACCCACAGAAGATTATTGCGAGTGCCACGCATTTGGGTGTGGACATCTCAGAGGCTAAGCTGATCAATCCATCGAGCTCTAAAGACCGCAGCAGATATGCCGATCTACTCTTCGATCTGCGCAAGAAGAAGGGCATGCAGTTAGACGAGGCCATTGATTTGGCCCAGGATGCCACTTACTTTGGTATGTATATACTTAGCAATACTGTTGTTGTATTGATTTTGTATGTGTAAAGGCCCTGGATGCTACTTACTTTCGTATGTATATACTTAGTGATACTGTTGTTGTATTGATTTTGTATGGATGCTACTTACTTTGGTATGTATATAATTAGTAATACTGTTGTTGTATTGATTTTGTATGTGTAAAGGCCCAGGATGCTACTTACTTTGGTATGTATATACTTA